AAATGATTATTCTTTACTATATAATTCATGCTCTTGGGCCCAACTTTGAAGCAAATTAGTTTACTATTGCAGTACATGCAGACTCTAAGCTCCTGTGTGTAGTATATTAATTTACTCAATAGGGCACTGGAGGAGGATCATTCTTCATTCTGTACTAATAAAAGTGTTGATAATTGTGGCAACACTGACACTGAAGGATTGCTAGTATTAAAGAACATTGCAGCTGCTGATCAAGGAATATACATGTGCACAGCTACACTTGATAATGTCACTAGCTCTGTGATTCGACAAATTCAAATTGGAGGTAATTATTAAAATATTTTTTATTATAATTAATAATTATAATCAGAGCCTCCTGTGATTGAGAAGAGTCCTACTAGTGTGGTTGCTCGTGATCCTCCATCTTATATTGTTTTTGAAGCAGCAGCAAGAGGGAACCCACCACCAGTACTGAAATGGTATCACAACTCAAATGAAATTGACTTCAAAAATACCACAAAGTAAATCAAAATTGATAAGTACACTAAATTTATATTACATTGATTGCATTAATACAATTAATACTTGGATTAGATTCTTTAATATTATTACCATAGTATCACAAATTTTTCTAGGATGTATTTGACCAGTACTGGGTCATTGATCATATTAGGTCCTCAGTTTGAGGATAATGGTCAATATAAAGTAGTGGCAGACAATGGAGCTGGATCAGTAGAAGCAGCTGCCAGTCTTACAATATACTTCAGTAAGTGCTACTATTACTGTAGAGAGTAGTGGATACTGTGTAGCAATAGAGACAGTGTACACAATAGGGACTAACCTGAGCAAAGCATTTTGCAGTGACAAACTATTACATTATGCACATCTATATGTAGCTTTAAATACTGAAAGTGCTCATAGCTCAAAAATTTAAGCCAAGAAGCAGATCAAGCTCAAACATTCTACATAGCACAATGGTATCAATATGCTTTATAATTGATATTGTGTTAATTACAGGGTCAGCCTGCAATAGAGGGTCTGGTTGCTCTAATGATGGACAGTGTCTCCCAGTACATTACTGCAGGTGTCCTGATGGATATTCTGGTGATGGATGTGAGGAAAGTCAGGAAAGTACGTTATTTATAATTTGAATAAATAAATTATTTTAATTTTTTTAACAGCACCTCCTTCTACAACCCCTACTACACCTCTTCCTAGTTCTGGTGATTATTATTCAGGTGACTATTATTACTATTCTGGTGACTATTACTATTCTGGTGATAATGATGATGATTATAAAAGAAAGAAAAGAGGTAACCATTCACATTATGTATTAACAGTAATGCACATCTAGTTACTATAGCTGTGACAATAATAGCTTCAATCATTATTATTTTTCCATAGGTGTTGCTTATTCACAGTATGATTATGATTTTATTGACACATCAGTATCATCAAGTCATAAGAAAACTTTGGGCAAACAACGAAGAAACAAAAATAAATTTAAAAAGACTTAGAAACTTGATAAAGCAAAATTTGCAATAAAAATAAAGGACAATATGACTTCAGCATACTAGATACATTGTTTGATTAATTTTTATTAAAAAAATAATTCATTTCTAAAACTACAAAAGCATGCTAATTTTATATAAACTGTTAGACAAAATATCTAGGTAAAAGTTTGAAGTTTTAGTCAATATTTAAGTAACTCTTGTACAGCACAAAAATAAAAGTTTTCAGGGAGAGGTAATAGGTACATGTAGTTTTAGCTTATCAGCAGTATGGTTCAGTTGCATTTCGTGCAATATTTTAATCAAAGAGTGCCTGGGACTGCTTTGCTTGGTCTCCCACTTCATCAGTGCTTCCATTAGCTGGCGATCTTCTTGGTAACTTTTTGTAGCCTTGTGTATATCTACATTAAGCTTCTTTCTTAGCATAGAGATCATGTTTTTCTCTGCTACATCTTGCACGACTTGTGAAAGGTCTGAAAATGTGAGATGATGATCTTCCTCTTTTCTTAACTTATTGCACTGCAACAAAAATATATAAATATGATATTTAATATGATAAAACTGTAAAATGCATGAATGTAATACTTAGTCCTATTATAGTAATGTATAAATTTACCATTTTTGCTGCTGAAATCCAGCAATTACGGCAGAAAAAAGTGTCATGACTAGTGCGGCGTTTACAAGCCTGGCATAAATCAGAATCATCATTGAAATAGACATAATGACTGGCATCATTGACAGCAGAGCATGGAATACCAATGAAATACTTCAAATATCGAATCTGGTTGGCCATTCTATTGAGACTGTCGCAACAAGCTTCAATGATGCCTTTGCAAGCTTGCACACAGTGATGCATACCAGTAAAGGCATCTTTTATTTGAAATATGAGCTTTGTTTGGCTTCCTCCATACACCATTGTAATTTGAATTGGACGACCACTTGGAGTTTGATATCCAAACTGTGATGTGTCAAAACTTTCATTTCCAATGAGATGAAAATTTGGCTTTTTCAGTATCTCGTGACTGATACTTGCTTGAATGTTAGCAGGAAAATTAGCACCTTCAATTTTAAGAAAAGCATAGTCGTTGTTATGATCAGGTGGAGGAGATCTTTTATTAATTCTGGCAGAAGGTAAATAGTAACCCACTTCAGTCAAAAGACGTTTGTTCAAATAAGCCTTTTCTTTATTAATAAAAGCTGCCATTCCAAAAGTGATGATAATTTTCATAAAAATGTTTACGTACTTTTTCAAAATTTCTGATGCATCTGAAATCTTGATGATTCCATAAGTGGTCAAATCTTTGTACCATTTCTTTTCTTCTTTTGGATAAATAAGCTCATTTAAAAATCGCACAAACTCCCATATATCAACGACTACAATGTCTCTCAAAGCTCTAAACTGTGGCATATAAAGGATGCTACCAAAATCAGTAAAAGTGACAAGAAAGCTCTCAAACTCTTCTTCATCCATCCCTATCTCCTTGGCAGCAGCATCGTAAATATCGATTTTTCTTAATATCATTGTTTTCATGTCCCCTTCTTTTTGTTGTGCGGAAATGACAAGGCTCCGTAGGAAAATCCATTTAAGTGGAAGAGTTTTTTGAAAAATTTGGTCTTTCATAATAAATTCTGTAATTTTCTTTTTTGCACCTTTCAATGAATCAGCATCATTAATCGAAACAAGTGCAACGTTTGAAACAAATTTCTTAATATTTAGCTTTTCTGCTTCTTCTTGTATTTTATCAGTAGCGGCTTTATGGAGCTGCGAAGAAGAACCAGCAACAACAGATTGGCTATTACTAGAAGCAACAACAAATGTTCTTTTACTATCATCTTCCTTCTGTTTTGGATTGTGGCCAAGTGTTGCAAAGTGAAGAATGCAATTAAGTCGTGACCTCATTGTCAAAGCTAAACGGTTGTCACTTCTTCTGCTATAGTGATCAGCTGACAAATCTGGTACTTCATTAAGCTTAGGACCATCCCGCTCTAAAGAGAAAAAAACAAGGCGCAAATGACTGCGGCAAAAGGAGAGCATAATAGGGAGGAAATCATAGAGGGCCTTGTTAACACCAACATCCATTATATTGGCAAGAGTGAGGCCATTGAGAAAAAGAGCCTCTTTCTTTTCATCTTTGGAAATATCCTTTAGCTGTTTTGCTGCTTTCCCCATGAGCCACTTAAAATGATTGTCAACTAACTTATTTTGACTTACGTGGCCATCGCTTAAAAACTCAACGCTTTTTATGT